TCATGCCATGAGCTAGACATAAAATAAATAATAACTCGGACTATTATTTGCAAGTACAATTATCAGTCCAGACTACGAAAGTGACATGCAAACCAACACAAAGGCCGGTCATGATGATCAAGAGTGCAAAAAGATATGAATAGCAATTACAGCATTAAGATAGACAATTTGAGAGAATGGGTAAGACATGGAATTCAAACTAGTGTCAACTATAAACCTCAGCAATCAGAAGCATATTTACAATACTAAGAAGAAACAACTTGAAAGGATCAAATAATGCCCATATATGTCATTGTGAATACACCAACAAGTACATAAATTATAGAGGGAAGAAAACAATGTAAATCAACCAATTGTATCCATACCCATAGCGGAAATCAAGCTTGTGGAATATTGTTGGCTGTTCACCTTCTATAGGTTCAGCAAGCTGTGTATAAACTATATCACGAGGAGAAATTTCAACCTTTGCGTCACCTCCATCTTGAGTTTCTACCCTAGAAACCTCAAATGAAGCAATTTAAACAGATTAAGAAATCACGAAACAAATCCATATATAATATGGGACTATAGAAACAACAATGCAAATGAATAGAAAAAATTGAGAATTTTATATTGAATAAAAGAATTCCAGAATGTGAATGAATGATGAAACATCTATTTAAGAGAAATTCATATGATGAGAACATTAGAAGTCAGTTGAAGAAAACAACCATGCGTAATCCAACATAGACAAACAATTGGTTCTGCAGTAAAAGAAAAGAACATAAACTATATTTGAAATACAAAAACATAATAATCCATGAGCACACGCTCAGATACATGTTATTTTGGATGGGGAGGCTATGATTGTACATTATCCTCCAATCAGGAGTGTATAAATATCCAGGTTATTCCATTGAACTCTCAATCAATAACCTAAACAATTCAATACTTATATAGTTTGTACATCAAGTTCATGTCCATGCCCTCAAGTGGATATTTAATAAATGTGCATAAAGGTATTCTTAACTATAGACCTGCATGATTGTTCTTGTAAAGTAAATGCTTTATTTGCATGCCAATGAATTTTAACACTGAAAAGACACAGTAGGGAAGTTTAATTTTTAAGCACTACAAAATTTTGAGAGAAAGTAATGAAAAAAAAAAGTCAAGTGCATATTTAAAAAAAAATGTCTTTTTAAGTTCAATCAAGCATAGTAATTGCTAACAAAAGAAAAGTAAAATAAATTTTAATGTCCACAATGTACTGCCACGGCAATAAATATAAATTCAAATTCAGATCAGTACCAGTAAAGTGTTGAAGGCTTATCAGCTCTCCAATTAATGGAGCGCATCCCTTTACGCACACTATTGAATGCAATTGGAATGTCCTCGGCAAGGGGCAAATCACAAAGCTCCCTGATTAATTTTCCCTCAGCACTCCAAAGCTCTACCTTCTTTGGAAATCTTCCACAAGGAACAATGAAAGAGTATGGCCTGTGAATTGAACTAATCAAAATGTACTTATTATCTGGGGAAGGGTCCATTGAGGTATAAACAGCTGGTGGGCCAATTTCTTTTACAGAACCATCCAAAGAAGCTAAAACAAGTTGTGAGGTGGCATAGTAGTCAAACAAATCTTCGTCATATTCATCTTTCAGCAAGTCCTGGAATGTTCTTACTTGAACAATGTTTTTCTCCTCATTAGATTGAATTTTGGGGCCAGCAGGAACCAAAGGTTTCTTTGGCGGAGCTCCACGTGATGATGGAATGGTACAAACAAGCAAAGAAGAGTTATTTACCCAAACATAATTGTCAAAAACTGCATTCAAGTGTATATTTGGTGACTTAAACAATTGTATGGCTTTCCCTGTTTTCACATCTGCAATCCACACTGTGAGTTTACTGCTATCACTATCCTCCTCTTTCACACGAATGCTAAAGGACAAATGACATCCGTCAGGAGACCACGAAACAAAATTTATTTTAGCACCATCAGGGAAACCATGCACCTCTATCTCTGGCCCTAATGTGCCATCAGGAAGAATTTGATGGATCCCTATACCTGTGTAGAATGACATGCGACTCCTAGTATTGCACTTTCCATCAATACGTATACCAGCCAACTTTTCCTCCGGCCTTGCTATTTCTGCCAGTGGAGGTAGAGCTCTTCGCTTGAGAAAGATAATTTTGTCCCTGAGTGGTGAAAATGACAATGCAGGTACTGGTGGAGCATCAACTATTTTGCTGATCTCAGGTGGAGGAACACGATAATTTGTTCCTACAGTTGACTCTTCTAGTATTGGTGAATCAGAATAAAAGGTCAGCATCTAGAAATAAGTAAAGCAATCCAAACAATATTATACATGTGAATATGAATTTCAACTATGTCTAGGTCAAGCTCGAATACAAAAGGACTACGGAGTATACGACAGAAAATGAAGTGAATCTCTTCACTTCCTATACCAAATTATCAAGGAGCTCAACCCTCAAACGTTGTTCGTGTAAAACTCTATGCAATCGTCAGTCAGTAAAAAGAAAGTGGCAAATCATCGAACTACACACAAAAGTTCACTAGCCTAAAAATATTTAAACTCTACCAAAATAAGTTCATTAATACGGTTAATGGTGAATTAACGATCGGTCATTCAATTACTTTGATCGCTATGATAATTTCGTATTTTCACAGCATCGGCAACTTAATTGAGCGTAGTCCAAAAATCAAGGAGCTGAAATTTTACTCCAGGTAAACGATCAACCGAATGAATATGCATCAATAGATTAATAAGTATCAGGTCATCAACGCACGACGCTTACGAAATCGAAACACTGTAAGAGGAAAAAACAACAACACCTAGTCTTGCGGTACAACAGCAAAAACAGTGGCGAAGGAATGAGTGCTGAGCTAACCTTCGTAATCAGCGGAAGTAGCGGCGTTGGCAGAGGAAGAAAAGGCGGCAGTGGCGTCTTCAGTAGGCGCAGCTGCGAGAGGCGCTAGATTGCGCAACCGCGAAGAAGCCATGGAAGCGAAGTTCACAGCGGTCCGGAGACGGAGCGTGAGGCGCAGCGGAGGAGCGAGAGGAAGAAGAGAGGGGTTGGAAGGGAGCGATAATGGCGAAAAAGGGAGAAGAGTGAAGCGATGGTACAGTTTGTGTAGTCGCATCATTGATAAAATAAAAAATTCTATTCCTGTGTGATATTTTTTTCTCTCAGCCGTCTCGGTATGTCCATAGTTCGTAACTCTTCCGGTACCAATAGCCTCAGTGCATTTCGTTTCGATGTGTTATTGATTTTATTACATAACAAATTAATATTTTAAATTAAAAATTTATCAATTTTAGTTGTTTTGATGTGTAACTGAATGTAGAAAGGATCCAAATTATCCATTTGCTTCTCATAGAGAAGGAAAAAAAAACAGAAGGAGAGAAGGAGAAAAAATAAATACAAAGTGGTCCAAAGAGAAGTATTTTAGTAGAAGTGCAATGAGTATTTCATATTCGTAAATTTATTTTTATATGAGGTTAAATGGTTATTAAAGTAACAAGATAACCTCTAACATCTCATTTTTACATTAATATGTACATTAATTAAACGTTACTATAAAATATTCCTACGAGATTCATGAAATTACGTCTATAATATTCACCATCATTACAATATTATACATTATTATTTGCATGTATATTTNATACATGTTATTTTGGATGGGGAGGCTATGATTGTACATTATCCTCCAATCAGGAGTGTATAAATATCCAGGTTATTCCATTGAACTCTCAATCAATAACCTAAACAATTCAATACTTATATAGTTTGTACATCAAGTTCATGTCCATGCCCTCAAGTGGATATTTAATAAATGTGCATAAAGGTATTCTTAACTATAGACCTGCATGATTGTTCTTGTAAAGTAAATGCTTTATTTGCATGCCAATGAATTTTAACACTGAAAAGACACAGTAGGGAAGTTTAATTTTTAAGCACTACAAAATTTTGAGAGAAAGTAATGAAAAAAAAAAAATCAAGTGCATATTTAAAAAAAAATGTCTTTTTAAGTTCAATCAAGCATAGTAATTGCTAACAAAAGGAAAGTAAAATAAATTTTAATGTCCACAATGTACTGCCACGGCAATAAATATAAATTCAAATTCAGATCAGTACCAGTAAAGTGTTGAAGGCTTATCAGCTCTCCAATTAATGGAGCGCATCCCTTTACGCACACTATTGAATGCAATTGGAATGTCCTCAGCAAGGGGCAAATCACAAAGCTCCCTGATTAATTTTCCCTCAGCACTCCAAAGCTCTACCTTCTTTGGAAATCTTCCACAAGGAACAATGAAAGAGTATGGCCTGTGAATTGAACTAATCAAAATGTACTTATTATCTGGGGAAGGGTCCATTGAGGTATAAACAGCTGGTGGGCCAATTTCTTTTACAGAACCATCCAAAGAAGCTAAAACAAGTTGTGAGGTGGCATAGTAGTCAAACAAATCTTCGTCATATTCATCTTTCAGCAAGTCCTGGAATGTTCTTACTTGAACAATGTTTTTCTCCTCATTAGATTGAATTTTGGGGCCAGCAGGAACCAAAGGTTTCTTTGGCGGAGCTCCACGTGATGATGGAATGGTACAAACAAGCAAAGAAGAGTTATTTACCCAAACATAATTGTCAAAAACTGCATTCAAGTGTAAATTTGGTGACTTAAACAATTGTATGGCTTTCCCTGTTTTCACATCTGCAATCCACACTGTGAGTTTACTGCTATCACTATCCTCCTCTTTCACACGAATGCTAAAGGACAAATGACATCCGTCAGGAGACCACGAAACAAAATTTATTTTAGCACCATCAGGGAAACCATGCACCTCTATCTCTGGCCCTAATGTGCCATCAGGAAGAATTTGATGGATCCCTATACCTGTGTAGAATGACATGCGACTCCTAGTATTGCACTTTCCATCAATACGTANATAAAAATACCCAAATGAAACCCATTGTTGGTAAAGACAACCAATACCTTCTAGCCAGCCAAAGAAGGGCTGATGTGGAACCTATCCCAGGAAATTCATTTGGAGAACCACGAACTTGTCCAGCAGCATCTTTACTCTTGAACTCTCCAGGGTAAGACCAAACCAGGCATGGTAAAGGACCATCTGTTGATGGATTGTAACCTGGTGGCAGGTATAATGTAGCTGTAAGTTGAACCCCATCTTTTCTCTGATACCTGACCATCTCCTTCTGCAATGATGCAAGTTGAGGGTACGGATGAGGGAAATATGTAACCTGAACTGTTTTTTTATCTGGCCAGCTAACCAAGTAATATTGGGTGTTTTCAGTTTTTGACTCTTTAGAAGTCAGTATCTTCAGCTTGTCCAAATGCAAATCCCCTTCTTCCTGATCAGACATTAGAGCAACAACTGTCTCATAATATTTTTCTTTATCGCTCTGCCAGATTCGTTCTGTTTTACGTGTATTTCTGCAACATTTTGGTTCAAACCGTCATATATGAGAACATATCAGAAGCATAATACGCACTTTAAGACACTTACATATCAAACAGATCAAGGAATGGAATGTTCCCTTCTGGTGTAGCACCAATTCCATTCAGTATAATGTATTTTCCTTCATCACTGGCTCTTTTTATCCTTGCAATGATGTATGTCCCAGCTTGAGTTCTCCGCGACATAGGAGAGCCAGGATCAGAGTACACATCCTCTGAAGATCTATCAAATAGGATGTCTGGAGCTACACCTTCAGATCCAGGAGAAACTAGCCATGTTCTTATTTTCCGAGTTTTGTACCAAGACTCGTACACCAGAGCCAGAGAATCATCACACCAAGAAACCCCTCTGTACATATGGGGAAAACAAAAACAGTGTTCAAGATTTTAGAATATAAGCACAATATAATTGTATCCACGTATCTCTAAACCCTTCCCCCAACCCAAAAAATAAAAACTGAAAAAAGTGTGAAGTTTACAGTAAGCATGGTAAGGAATTATCTTAACAACTGCTACTTAGATAATCATGCCATGAGCTAGACATAAAATAAATAATAACTCGGACTATTATTTGCAAGTACAATTATCAGTCCAGACTACGAAAGTGACATGCAAACCAACACAAAGGCCGGTCATGATGATCAAGAGTGCAAAAAGATATGAATAGCAATTACAGCATTAAGATAGACAATTTGAGAGAATGGGTAAGACATGGAATTCAAACTAGTGTCAACTATAAACCTCAGCAATCAGAAGCATATTTACAATACTAAGAAGAAACAACTTGAAAGGAACAAATAATGCCCATATATGTCATTGTGAATACACCAACAAGTACATAAATTATAGAGGGAAGAAAACAATGTAAATCAACCAATTGTATCCATACCCATAGCGGAAATCAAGCTTGTGGAATATAGTTGGCTGTTCACCTTCTATAGGTTCAGCAAGCTGTGTATAAACTATATCACGAGGAGAAATTTCAACCTTTGCGTCACCTCCATCTTGAGTTTCTACCCTAGAAACCTCAAATGAAGCAATTTAAACAGATTAAGAAATCACGAAACAAATCCATATATAATATGGGACTATAGAAACAACAATGCAAATGAATAGAAAAAATTGAGAATTTTATATTGAATAAAAGAATTCCAGAATGTGAATGAATGATGAAACATCTATTTAAGAGAAATTCATATGATGAGAACATTAGAAGTCAGTTGAAGAAAACAACCATGCGTAATCCAACATAGACAAACAATTGGTTCTGCAGTAAAAGAAAAGAACATAAACTATATTTGAAATACAAAAACATAATAATCCATGAGCACACGCTCAGATACATGTTATTTTGGATGGGGAGGCTATGATTGTACATTATCCTCCAATCAGGAGTGTATAAATATCCAGGTTATTCCATTGAACTCTCAATCAATAACCTAAACAATTCAATACTTATATAGTTTGTACATCAAGTTCATGTCCATGCCCTCAAGTGGATATTTAATAAATGTGCATAAAGGTATTCTTAACTATAGACCTGCATGATTGTTCTTGTAAAGTAAATGCTTTATTTGCATGCCAATGAATTTTAACACTGAAAAGACACAGTAGGGAAGTTTAATTTTTAAGCACTACAAAATTTTGAGAGAAAGTAATGAAAAAAAAAAGTCAAGTGCATATTTAAAAAAAAATGTCTTTTTAAGTTCAATCAAGCATAGTAATTGCTAACAAAAGAAAAGTAAAATAAATTTTAATGTCCACAATGTACTGCCACGGCAATAAATATAAATTCAAATTCAGATCAGTACCAGTAAAGTGTTGAAGGCTTATCAGCTCTCCAATTAATGGAGCGCATCCCTTTACGCACACTATTGAATGCAATTGGAATGTCCTCGGCAAGGGGCAAATCACAAAGCTCCCTGATTAATTTTCCCTCAGCACTCCAAAGCTCTACCTTCTTTGGAAATCTTCCACAAGGAACAATGAAAGAGTATGGCCTGTGAATTGAACTAATCAAAATGTACTTATTATCTGGGGAAGGGTCCATTGAGGTATAAACAGCTGGTGGGCCAATTTCTTTTACAGAACCATCCAAAGAAGCTAAAACAAGTTGTGAGGTGGCATAGTAGTCAAACAAATCTTCGTCATATTCATCTTTCAGCAAGTCCTGGAATGTTCTTACTTGAACAATGTTTTTCTCCTCATTAGATTGAATTTTGGGGCCAGCAGGAACCAAAGGTTTCTTTGGCGGAGCTCCACGTGATGATGGAATGGTACAAACAAGCAAAGAAGAGTTATTTACCCAAACATAATTGTCAAAAACTGCATTCAAGTGTATATTTGGTGACTTAAACAATTGTATGGCTTTCCCTGTTTTCACATCTGCAATCCACACTGTGAGTTTACTGCTATCACTATCCTCCTCTTTCACACGAATGCTAAAGGACAAATGACATCCGTCAGGAGACCACGAAACAAAATTTATTTTAGCACCATCAGGGAAACCATGCACCTCTATCTCTGGCCCTAATGTGCCATCAGGAAGAATTTGATGGATCCCTATACCTGTGTAGAATGACATGCGACTCCTAGTATTGCACTTTCCATCAATACGTATACCAGCCAACTTTTCCTCCGGCCTTGCTATTTCTGCCAGTGGAGGTAGAGCTCTTCGCTTGAGAAAGATAATTTTGTCCCTGAGTGGTGAAAATGACAATGCAGGTACTGGTGGAGCATCAACTATTTTGCTGATCTCAGGTGGAGGAACACGATAATTTGTTCCTACAGTTGACTCTTCTAGTATTGGTGAATCAGAATAAAAGGTCAGCATCTAGAAATAAGTAAAGCAATCCAAACAATATTATACATGTGAATATGAATTTCAACTATGTCTAGGTCAAGCTCGAATACAAAAGGACTACGGAGTATACGACAGAAAATGAAGTGAATCTCTTCACTTCCTATACCAAATTATCAAGGAGCTCAACCCTCAAACGTTGTTCGTGTAAAACTCTATGCAATCGTCAGTCAGTAAAAAGAAAGTGGCAAATCATCGAACTACACACAAAAGTTCACTAGCCTAAAAATATTTAAACTCTACCAAAATAAGTTCATTAATACGGTTAATGGTGAATTAACGATCGGTCATTCAATTACTTTGATCGCTATGATAATTTCGTATTTTCACAGCATCGGCAACTTAATTGAGCGTAGTCCAAAAATCAAGGAGCTGAAATTTTACTCCAGGTAAACGATCAACCGAATGAATATGCATCAATAGATTAATAAGTATCAGGTCATCAACGCACGACGCTTACGAAATCGAAACACTGTAAGAGGAAAAAACAACAACACCTAGTCTTGCGGTACAACAGCAAAAACAGTGGCGAAGGAATGAGTGCTGAGCTAACCTTCGTAATCAGCGGAAGTAGCGGCGTTGGCAGAGGAAGAAAAGGCGGCAGTGGCGTCTTCAGTAGGCGCAGCTGCGAGAGGCGCTAGATTGCGCAACCGCGAAGAAGCCATGGAAGCGAAGTTCACAGCGGTCCGGAGACGGAGCGTGAGGCGCAGCGGAGGAGCGAGAGGAAGAAGAGAGGGGTTGGAAGGGAGCGATAATGGCGAAAAAGGGAGAAGAGTGAAGCGATGGTACAGTTTGTGTAGTCGCATCATTGATAAAATAAAAAATTCTATTCCTGTGTGATATTTTTTTCTCTCAGCCGTCTCGGTATGTCCATAGTTCGTAACTCTTCCGGTACCAATAGCCTCAGTGCATTTCGTTTCGATGTGTTATTGATTTTATTACATAACAAATTAATATTTTAAATTAAAAATTTATCAATTTTAGTTGTTTTGATGTGTAACTGAATGTAGAAAGGATCCAAATTATCCATTTGCTTCTCATAGAGAAGGAAAAAAAAACAGAAGGAGAGAAGGAGAAAAAATAAATACAAAGTGGTCCAAAGAGAAGTATTTTAGTAGAAGTGCAATGAGTATTTCATATTCGTAAATTTATTTTTATATGAGGTTAAATGGTTATTAAAGTAACAAGATAACCTCTAACATCTCATTTTTACATTAATATGTACATTAATTAAACGTTACTATAAAATATTCCTACGAGATTCATGAAATTACGTCTATAATATTCACCATCATTACAATATTATACATTATTATTTGCATGTATATTTATCCATAAATCTATCAATTATTCACAAATAAACTTCATAAAATAGTTATCATTTTAACATCACATAAACTCACCTTAAACATATCAGAAAAATACACATAAATAGAATTATACTATGTTAATTTTGTTCAAGGAGAATATTTATTCGTTCAATGAGTAATATTTAAAAATACACTTACCCAACGACCACATAGTTTGTTCAACGAGTCATTATTGGAATTTTCATACTTAATTTTTCACAAAGCTGTTCAGTGATGCTTGTCTTGCCCAACTACTACCAAATCAATAAACTTTATGATTTTAGCTTCGCCCAATAGGTATATTCTCGCCCAACGATCATCAAGTCAGTAGCTATCTGACTCTGACGTTGTCCAACCAGTATATTATCGCTTAGCAACCACAAAGTCAGTAACTCTCTCACTTTGACTTCGCTTAGCGAGTCTGCATAATTTGATATAACATAATTTTGTAAATTTATGTCATTCCAACCCTG